ACTTGTAAATGCTGAGGGAGCTCATTTCAAGAACAGGAAGCAGTGTGAGCAGAGTTGCAGAGAACAGTCAAGCAAGGGGGCATGTTTGATGATTGAGGGAACGGAGATCAGTCAGATATTCTTGGAACCTCCATGTCACTGTAAAGGGCTGGTTTTTGAAAAGCTATTATTCCAGGCTTTAGAGCTTGGATTTTATTCTGTAGGCACTGGGGAGCTATTGCAGGAGAGTGACATGATCAGAGTAGTACATTAACAGGATCACTCTAGCAGTATGCATAGGCTAGATCAGAGAGCCTAGTTGTTGAAGGATGGCTAATTAGAAGGTTATTGAAATAGTCTAGAGCATGGGTTATGAGGATCAGTGTTTGGGTAATGACAATGAGAATGATATGAAGAGACATGAGAGACGTTGGGTCATTAAGACTTTGTGACTAATTGGATAAAGGGCAAGGAAGAGGCAGGAGCAAAGGAAGATGCTGAGATCTCAACTTTAGGTGACTATGAGAATGCTAGTGCCATTATCAGAAATAAATAAATCCTGTGGTGAGGCAGTTTTTGAAGGGGACATGATGAGTTTCCTCATTTGTAAAATGGAGGAGTCAACCTAGATAATCTCTAAAGTCCCTTTCAATTCTAACACTGGTTCTATAATTCTTTGAGTTCAATTTTAGACATATTTAATTTGAGATGATAGCAAGATATCTAAATGGAGAGGTCTATCACTCAGCTGGAAACGTAGCTCCAGGGCTAACAAGACTGGTGAAGGCTATAGATAAAGGGCCAAACTCAGATCCTTGGCAAACACCTATATTAAGTAGAAGAAGAGATTAAGGAGCCAGCAAAGGAGACAGAGATGCTAAGGTTAGAGAGGTGTGAAACTCAGGAGAAAGAAAGCAATGAAGATACAAACCTGGCCTAGAAAATTTGAAATTTGGAATTTGGCTATGACATCCTTTGGGGTTTCTTTCTCGGATTGACCAGTATATTCTTTCTATTATCTCTTTGCCTTCTGGTTCTAATAGATCTGATCAGTTTTTATTTATGATTTCTTGAAATATGGCATGTAATCTGGAAAGACTTACATGAACTGATACAAAGTGAAGTAAGCAGAACCAGGAGAACATTGTCACAGTAATAGCGTTATTGATAATGCATGATGAACTGTGAGTGACTTAGTTATTCTGATCAATACGATGATCTAAGACAATTCCAAAGGACTTATGATGAAAAATGCTATCTACCTCCAGAGAAAGAACTGATAGAGTCTGAATGCAGATTGAAGCATGCTTTTTTACTTTATTTTTCTTGGGGTTGTTTTTTTTTCGGTCTGTGTTTCTTTCATGACATGACTAACATGGAAATATGCTTTGCATGACTGCACTTGTATAACCTGTATCGAATTGCTTGCCTTCTCATTGAATTGGGGGGAGGAGAGAGAAGAGGAGAAAGAATTTGGAACTCAAATTTTTTAATATTTTTAAAATATCACATGTAATTGGAAAAAATATTGACATACAGATTTTTTTTGTCATAGTTTTCAAGTAGTTAACTGGTGATTCTTAGAGTATCACTTATTTAATTCTTTTCCAAATCATTTGTTTCCGATAGGTGATACCTTACATTTTCCTTCTATCTTTTCAGTCTTTCACCTTTTGATAATTTCTTGTTATCTAATGAAGGTATTTGTTTCTATTTACGGTCATCCATTACAATGCTGTCTGTTCGGAAGCTCTAAAAACCAAATCAAAATTTGATATAATTGAGAGAGCTCACTGGTTCTGGAGTCAGAGGACCTGAGTTCAAAGCCTGGCTCTGCTACTTACTAACTTTGTGACCTAGGGCAAATCACTTAACATTTTGGGGCCTCTGTTTCCTTATCTGTAAATTGTAGAGGTAGAGGTTAGACATCTAAGGTCTTTTCCAGTTTTGAGTGTGAGAGGGTGTGTAGGAGATAGATTTTCCTATAGGAAGTGACCATGTGGATGTCCTGATGGCCATTCAAACTCAACAAAACATGTAAATGGCACACTGAGTGTTCCCTTCACCTCAAAGATCAGAACAATTCAGCTGAACCAAGGGTTTACAAGAGAGCTAAGTAGGATCACATTGAGTAGTCTTGATTTCAGCAGAGGAGAATGAGTTCAGAATGAATGAGGCAGTAAAGTTCATGGGGAATGTAAACAATTAGAAGCTGGTAGAAATTTAAGTCATTAGTTCAGACTTTTCATTGTCAGGATACTCTCGATTCAATTCAAAAAACATTTATTAAGCTCCTGTGTACAAGGTACCATGCCAGGAGAGACAAAGCCAAAAACAATACAGTCCATGCCCTCAAGTTGCTCACATTCTAGCGGGCAGATACAGCATGTACACAGGTGAATAAAAAGAAAGTAATAAAAGGAGAAAACATTAACAAGTGGGCAGGAAGAAGGGATCAAGGAAGCCTTCACATCTGAAGCTATGTCTGAGCTCAGCCTTAAAGAAAAATACAGTTTCCAAAATATGGAGATGAGGATGGAGTGTATTCCTGAAAAGAGAGACAGCCTATTTGCAAAGACACAGGAGCAGGAGATGGAGTGTTGAGTTTGTAGCCCAGTTTGGCTGGAATATTCAGTTTATGAAAGGAAGTAATGTTAAATGAGGCTGGAAGATAGGTCGAAGACAAGTTATGTAGCCCCTTGGACAGCAGGCTTGGTTTGTCTTTTATCCTAAAAGCCATAGGGGGCCACTAAAAGTTTTTGATCAGGGAAATGACATGATCAGACCTGTATCTTAGGGAAATTATCTTTGCATATGTTGGGAACATGGACTGGAGAAGGGAGAGACTAGAAGCAGGCAGACCAAATAGAAGACTATTACGATAGTCCAGGTAAGAGGGGATGAGAGTCTGAATAAGAGTAGTAGTCAAATGAGTGCACGGAAAGGTACAAACATGAGAGATGTTGTGGTCATAGAACTGGCAAGACTTTTCAGCCTGATGGTGATGGAGGAGGGGTAAGGGAGAAGAAAGAGAGAAGGGTGATTCTGAGGTTATAAACTTGAGGGATTGGGAGAATGATAGTACCCTCAACAGAAATAGGACAGCTCCTTATGTCACTGGGCGTTCACTCCTTCATTGAAATCACAAGTCCAGGGGAGAGGGGAGATGTAAAAAGAGTCAGTTTCACTAGGATAGGCTGAATTTGCAGTGTCAAAGGGCCATTCCATTGGATTTGTCCTACTTCTGCTATTCCAAAGTAATGGTTCATTGTTTGCTGTCGTCAGAGATCTGGCACTCGGGCTCCCTTAGGTCTAAGTATGGTGAACCATTGGATTCCTGGCATGGTGGTTTGTGTGTGTGTGTGGCAGTCGGAGTTAAGTGACCTGCCCAGGGTCACACAGCTAGTAAGTGTCAAGTGTCCGAGGTCAGATTTGAACTCTGGTCCTCCTGACTCAAAGGCCAGAGCTCTATCCACTGCACCATCTAGCTACCCCTGGCATGATGGTTTTGAGCAGATGATGGAAAGACTTTGCAAGCCTGGGGAGGATCTATGCCAGTTTATCTGTCATAGTTCTTGTCCATCAAATCAACCCTTCTGTGTTTTCTGACTTTTCTCATCCTAGTGGTATGTTTATTTAGTCCATAGTCAGGCCTAGCTTGGCAAAAGGTTAAAATAAGGCTAACCAAATGGCAGATGGGCTTGTGTTTCCTCTTTTGTTCCCATGGTTTCTTTTTGTTTTAAACTTGTCACTGAGGAGAGGGGAAAACTAATGACACTAGTAAAGACAGGAGGAAAGGGAAAGGGAATAGACTAGGACATTTATAGAATCATAGACTTGGAGATATAGATTTCTAATGGACCTTAGGGATCATCTAGTCTAACCCCTTATTTTACAGATGAGGAAACTGAGTTCTAGAGAGATTAAATGATTTACCTTAGGTCTGACTTCTCAGACTCCAAAGTACCATGTACTAGATCATTTCGAATAACTAGGGCTGCTTAACCTGGAATGCAGAAAGTTTGGGGGAAGGAAATGAGAGAGTATGTGGAAGCCATAGAACCTGAGTTCTGGATCCTGCTCCTTATTATGTGTCATGTGACTCTGGGGGAGTAACTTCATTTCTCTGTCCCCCAGATTCTTCAACTATAAAATGAGGGAGGTGGATTAGATACCCTCTCAAGTCGCTTTCAGCTCTAAATGTGTTATGGTGTCTTCAGATATCTTCAGAGTTGTCATCCGTCACACTGGTTCTGTTTGACCACAGAGAACAGAGGAGCAGAGGCGGGTTACAGAGAGGCAGGTTTGGGCTTAATGTAAGGAAAAATGTCTTAGAGCCACTCAGAAGTGGATCTGGCTGCCTCAAGAGTCAGGACTACATCACTGAGGAGGTCTTGAAGCAGAAGGCCTCAGCAGAAGTCTTGCCCAGTTTATTGTAGAGGTGATTTCTATTGAAGCACATGTTTGTATAGGTACTTTCTGAAAGCCCTTCCATCTCTGAAGATGCTGTGATTCTGACTAAAATTACAGCCGAATCTATTTTACAAGGTGGTTTCGTGGGCTGGAAAACTGTACTTCTATTACACACACACACACACACGCACGCACGCACGCAGCAACTGCTCCAGCTCTTGTTGAAGAATAATTTGGAATACAACCTTCACTTCCATGCAGTGGTGTTCTATTAACTATTAAGCAAAGGGATAGGCGCCTTCCCTGGGAATTGAGCCACAGTACTTAGCTCCCTTGAGAAGGGGCCACGACTGCCTGGCACCCCCATGCTCTGACTGTTGTGGAATTCTTCCCTGACAAACGTGGAGAAGCCTTTGGGATAGATTGCAGATTGGTTCCTAACTTGGCTGCTCTTTTTCCATTCCTCCCTCTTCCCTCACTTTCCCTTTTACATTGAGGAATTGTATAGGAAGGGGCATTGAGTCAAAGAATTATGGCGGGTATTCATTGTCCCACATTTTCCTTTCATGGTTCTTCAGCAGCAACCTCTGCTTTCCTTCCTGCTGCAGGATAAAGAGCATCATACTTCTGATGACTCCGCTGGGGGGTCCCTGGACATGTGCTGTAGTGAGTGGCTTTCTGGTGAGTCCCCTCCTCCATTCTATATCCAGGTTTTCCACTGGGGTGGAATGTCAGCTCAGAAATAAAATGCCTTGCACTCAGTCTGGAGCGGACCGGTCAAAAGGGCACCTTTTTCATCTGCAGAGCTGCTGATTACTCTGATAATCAGAACCACTGATGCCAAGATTTGTGTCTGTCTTTGTTTTTAAAAACTCCTGAAGCTTTCCCCTCATCCTGATTTGGATGATTCTTACTGACTTGGGCGGTAAAGCATAGTAGAAAGGGCACTGGTGTAGGAGTCAGTACACCTGCGTTTTAACCCCAGCTCTACCACTTACATGTAAACATGCATGGACATGGACATACATGAGCATAAACATGGATATATAAACATGAGTCTGTGTAAACACAGCTGTTTGTGTCTGTGCATATACAGGGGTATGTATACATATATGTGTATGTATGTGTGTCCTGGGGAGGGGACTAAGACAAGGAAAGTAGCCACTCTACCCTTAGCTTTGTCTCCCTGGGAGCAGGAGGAGGCTCTGAGGTATGTGCGGTGAGGGTGGGTTGGAGTGTGACGGCCCCCACGGGGAGTGAAGCTGACAATTATGTAATGATGGTGTAAAAATACAGCTCGTGAGTAATCGTTCTCTATGCCTGCCTGCCCCATGGGAGAGGAAGGCCACGTGCTAGGCAGGTCTGCTCTGGATGACTAACACAGCTCCCACACACACTGTGCCCATAACATGGCTGCCACACATAGCTTGATTCCAGCACAACCCACTGGACACCAAGTAGGGGTAGGAGTCCAATCCTGTGGTCAGGGGACTGAAGGAAGCACATACATATACATATGTACCTGTACACACCAATGCACACACATTCCTGGACACACTCATGCTTACACACACACACACACACACACGCATGCATGCACGCATTCACTCAGGCCCACTTCATACATGTTCACCCAGGGACATTCATAGATACACACATATGCATACATGTTCATTCAGGTACATTGGCAAATACACACATAGGCACCACTGAATACATACATTATGTGTATATATATATACAATTATACATATATATGTATAGATATAGATATATACACACACCCCACAAATTTTCTGAGTTGTATATATGAACTTTCAAGAAGCCAGACAGTGTTACTGAAAATAAGAAATCTGTTGGGGGGCAACTAGGTGGTGCAGTGGATAGAGCACCAGCCCTGAAGTCAGGAGGACCTGAGTTCAAATCTGGCCTCAGACCGAACACTTGACACTTACTAGCTGTGTGACCCTGGGCAAGTCACTTAACCCCCCAACTACCTAAAAATTTAAAAAAAAAAAAAGGAAATCTATTGGACCTTAGTGGTACTTGTTCTCACTCAGGGAGCAAGAAAATCTCCTCTCCTGTTTCCTCCACCTTGAATCTCTTAGTCTTCTCCGTGCCTGCAACCACAGGCCAGTTTCTTTCCTCCAAATTAAGATGCCTCAAACCTTCCAAACCCCTTCCCTAGCACTAGCTATTCTAGCCCTCAGACCCTCATCTCAGCCCTGAGGAGCAACTGAATTTTTTTCTTTAAAATACTCATTTTTTAAAATTTTGAGTCCTCAATTCTCTTCCTTCCTCCAGCCCTGCTCGCACCCATAGATAAGGCAAGAAATATGAAACTCATTATACATGTGAAGTCATGCAAAACATATTTCTATATTAGCCATATTGCAGAAGAAAAGCAAGAAAAATAAAGTAAAAAATATGCTTCAGTCAGCACTCAGAGTTCATCAGTTCTTTCTCTGGAGGTGTATGGCATGTTTCATCATAAGTCCTTTGGAATTGTCTTGGATCATTGACTTGATCAGAGTGGCTAAGTCTTTCACAGTTGATCATCATTACAATATTGCTCTTACTGTGTACAGTGTTCTCCTGGTTCTGCTCACTTCACTTTGCATCAGTTCATTTAAATCTTCCCAGGTTTTTCAGGAACCATCCCCCCTGTCATTTCTTATAACAAAATAGCATTCATCATAGTCATATGCCACAAATTATATAGCCTTTCCTCAATTAGTAGGCATCCCTTCAGTTTTCAGTTCTTTGCCACCACCAAAAGAACTGCTATAAATATTTTTGTCTATGTAGGTCCTCATATTTTCTTTAATCTCTTTGGAGTACAGACCTAGTAGCAGTATTGCTAGGTCAAAGAGGGTATGCACAGTTTTATAGCCCTTTGATTTTGGTATCAAATTGTTCTCCAGAATGATTGGACCATTTCACAGCTCCACCAAAAGTGCATTATTGTATCTATTTTTCCACATCCCCTCTAGGATTTATCATTTCCTTTTCTGTCATGTTAGCCAATCTAATATATGTGAGGTGCTATCTCAGAGTTGTTTTAACTTGCATTTTGAAGAGCAACTAAGTTTCAAAAAATACTTTGAGAGATATCTGGAAGCCTCCCGTCTTTGTGAGGATTACCAAGAGGTAAGAATGGATGAAGAATCAGATCTCATGGATTCACATACCTGAATAACCATGGCTCTCTAAACCACCTCTTATCAATATCACAAAAGTGCTAAACCATGCCATACCAAGCAAACTACCAAAGAATAATTGTATGGAGCTAGAAAAAATAATAAAACTCATCTGGAAGGACAAAAGGTCAAGAATATCAAGGGAATCAGTTTAAAAAATACAGAAGAAGGCAACATGGTAGTACCAGGTTTCAAGCTCTATTACAAAGTGGTAATTGTCAAAACAATCTGGTACTGGCTAGGAAATAGAGTGGTGAATCTGTGGAATAGATTAGGTGCACAATTCATAGTAATAAATGACCATTGTAATCTAGTGTTTGATAAATCCAAAGGTCCACGCTTTTGGGACAAGAACTCACTTGACAAAAATTGCTGGGAAAACTGGAAAGCAGTTTGGCGGAAACTAGGCACAGACCAACATCTCACATCATGTACCAAAATAAGGTGGAAATGGGTAAATGATTTAGACATAAAGGGTGATATCATAAGTAAATTAGAGAGCAGGAAGAAATAGAAAGATAAGTTCCATTTAAAATAACTGTAGACAATGTACTTGGGAGTCTACCTGCCAAGGCAAACTCAGAGATTATATAAGCACAATTACAAAACATTTTTCACACATATAAAGACAGATCTAAACAATTGGAGAAATATTAGTTGCTCGTGGGTAGGCCAAGCAAATATAATAAAAATTACAATTCTGTCTAAGCTAATATACTTTTTCAATCAAACTACCAAAAAATTACTTTATAGAGCTAGAAAAAATAGCAACAAAATTCATCCAGAAGATCAAAAGGTCAAAAATATCAAGGGAATCAATGAAAAAAAAGTTAAAGAAGGCAGACTAGCAGTTCCAGATTTCAAAGTATTACAAAGAGGTAATCATCAAAATAATATACACAATGTACAGTAGTAAATTACCATAGTATTCTAATGTTTGATAAAACACCAAAATCCAAGCTTTTGGGGTAAGAATTCAACATTTGACAAAAACTGCTAGGAAAACTAGAAAGCATTTTGTCAGAAACTATGCATAGACCAACATCTCACAGCGTATACAAGATAAGGTCAAAATGGATAAATGTTTTAGATATTAGGGGTGATATCATAAATAAATTAGAGAAGCATGTAAAAATATACCTGAAGATCTATTGTTGAGGAAAGAGTTTATAACCAATAAGAGATAGAGAGGATTATGGGAAGTAAAATAGATAATTTTAATTATGTGAAATTAAAATGCTTTTGCACAAACAAAACTAATGCAACCAAAATTAAGAGGAAAACAGAAAAGTGGTGGAAAAAATTTTACAGCAGATTTCTCAGATAAACGCCTCATTTCTCAAATAAATGGGGACCTGAGCCAAATTAATAAAAATAAGAGCCACTCCCTAACTGATAAATGGTCAAAGATATGAACAGGCAGTTTTCAGAAGAAGAAATCAAAGCACTCTATAGTCATATGAAAAAAAAAATGCTCCAAATCACTGTTGATTAGAGAAATGTAAATTAAAACAACTCTGAGGTACCACCTCACATCCATCATATTAGCTAACATGACAGAGAAGCAAAAAGATAAATGCTGGAGGGGATGTGGGGGAAAAAAGGTACATTAATGAACTGCTGGTGGAGTTGTGAACTGATCCAACCATTCTGGCAAACAATTTGGAACTATGCCCAAAGGGCTATGAAACTGTACCTGCCGTTTAACCCAGAAATACCACTACTAGGTCTGTATCCCAAAGAGATCAAAGAAAAGGGAAAGAGACCTATATGTACAAAAATATTTATAACAGCTTTTTTGTGGTGGCAAAGAATAGAAAAGTGAGGGAATGCACATAAATTGGGAAATGGTTAGACAAGTTGTAGTGTATGTATGTGATGTAATATTATTGTGCTATAAGAAATGATGAGAAAGATGTCTTCAAAAGAAAACCTGGGAAGACTTAAATGAACTGATGCAAAGTGGAGTGAGCAGAACCAGAACATGTACACAGTAAGAGCAATATTGTAACAATGATCAATTGTGAAAGACTTAGCTGCTCTGATCAAAGCAATAATCCAAGATAATTCCAAAGGACTCGTGATGAAAAATGCTATCCACCTCCAGAAGGATAACTGATGGACTCTAAGTGCAGAATGAAGTATATTTTTTTTACTTTCTTTAGTTTTCTTGCTTTTTCCCCCACAACATGGCTAATACGGAAATGTCTTACACAATTTCATGTGTATAATTGATATTATATTGCTTGCCTTCAGGGGGTGGAGATGGCTAGAGTGAGGGAGAGAATTCAGAACTCAAGATTTTAAAAGCTGAATGTTAAAAATAAATGAATAGGGGCAGCTAGGTGGCAGAGTGGATAGAGCACCGGCCCTGAAGTCAGGAGTACCTGAAGTCAGGAGTTCAAATCTGGCCTCAGACTAAACACTTGACACTTACTAGCTGTGTGACCCTGGGCA